CCCGTCGTGGTGTTCGCCCTCGGCCTCTGCGGACTCACCGACAGCGGCGGGTGTGACGTCGTTCTCATCGTCACCTCCCTGATCTGCCTCGTCGTTCGTTACCATCGCCAATACTTCCGAAAAGTGCTCCTTGAGGTCGTCTATCGTAGGGCGATGCCTGTTACTCCGAAGTTTACCATCACTCACTAGGTACGGGATGTCGTCCTTGACCTGCAAGTGCACGAATCCCTGCTTTGGCGTAACCATGAAAGGTAGTTTACCAGGCATCCAGTGAAATGCATAACCCATCTTCATGCATCTCCTCCCCACTGACAATACCGTGGGTGTCTCATCCAATACATGCGGCTCGACAGTCTCGTCCAACTCGTCCACGACTATCTTGGCCACATCAGATGTGGAAGTGGAACCATTCGCGGTCTGGAACACGATCTCGTCGTCATCTTTCACGATGTCGACACCCAGGCTCTTCGCCTTGGCTCTTCCAATGAGATCATGACCACATCCGGTGTCCATCAACCATTTCACCCGTTTGCTGATGCACGTTGACATGGCGAAAACGTTCTTCGGCATACCATGCTGCTTCTTCCAGTCGACAGCCGATTCCTTGATCTCGTCCTTGTTCCGATCATACTCGAACATTATGCTGCTCTCCTTGGTCACCGGGAAGTAGTGCTTCTTATATACATCATCCACTACTTCTCTCAGTATCTTCGCACGTATCAATGATCGTTGGACTTGATAGGCTGACAATTCACGATGATCACTGCTTTTGAACTTCTTCTCGTCGACGTACACGTACTGATAAGGCTCATTCTCATTGTCCTCATAACCGTACCATTCCCCTTTTCGTTCCCATTGCCTTCTCTCGTCTTCGAGGTAGGTGATCTCCCCATTCTCGTCGACGTCGAGCACTTCCTTGAACCACACCATTTTCTCGGGGATCTCGGACTCGCCAGACCATCTCGATGATTCGCTCATCGCGTCGTCATCGTGCTCGTGGTAGACAGTCTCGGCTTCGTCCGGTTCGACCTGATCAACGTCCTTCTTGAAGCTTACCTTCCCTGCAGGAGCCGATTGCTTCAGGACTATCGCGGGCATTGCGATGGCCCTCCTCGCAATGGCAGGCGCTGCGGCTTTGGCGGCAGCCTTCGACTTGGCTTGCGCCTTGTCATTTGACGTTGCTGGAGCTGAATTGTTCTTGATGAGCTCATGCCTGTACTTACAAGCGCTTCCCCTATCGCACTTCCCCTTCTGAAACGCGAAGCATGCTCCATCATCCCTCTTTGGTGACGATGATCTGGACTTGGATTTGCCCTTTCCTTTCCCCTTGGACATGCTCTCCAACTTATGCTCCGTCTTCTTGCTGTGGGAAAAAGTGCATTCATTCCCTTTCACGCACCCCTTCGCCGATTTGAAGTGGTACCAGCAGGGGTTATCCTTGCTTCCGCCCGGACTCTTGCCTCTGTCGCTGGCACCGTCGGACTTGCCGTTCTTGCCAGCGTGGCCCTTTGCCTTGGCTTTTGGGAGCACAGGAGCGGCATCAGGTCCACCGGGTTTCCCCTTTCTGCCCTTGCCACCCTGGTTCTCCTGTTTGCCAGTTGCTGGAGCCGCATCCTTCCCGCCTGACTTCATCATCGACTTGACCGATTTCTCCTTCATGTCGAGCATCAGGTCTTCCCGATCTGCCTTGATCTGATAGTCGATCAACGCCAATAAGAATTCATACGTCTTCTGAGGATGCTTGTCCGGTAGTCTATGGTAGGCATTGAGGCCGAACTCCATCTTCTTGCTCCCTTTGATCTTCCTGTAAAGGATGTCTCTGAGAGCCAGCTTACTGGGTCTGTCCTCGCTCCTCATCTTCAGCAGCAAATCATACCATTTGTTCCTGAACATGACCAAGTTCTTGTCGCCAGGAAAGTCAAGGTTGAATAGATGCTCGATGTGGTAGACAAGATCCGTTCTATCGGAAGTTCTGAATGATTGCATAACTAATGCCACCAACTCTCGTCCCTTCACGATCACCCCTTGTTGATGTCGTAGTTCAGAGTGTCGTGTAGCATCGAGGTATACGTCCTTGGCTTCGTCAGGTGCTTGTTTCAGCATGTTCTGCATGCCCATGGCCATCTTAATATCTATCGTAGCAAATCTGTCGCCACCTGAATCGCTAAGCAAATCCAGGTCTGGGTTCAACCCAAGAGCCTGCTCCAGCCATTTCGTCCATGCGTCGGTATCTGGATCTGCACATGCGCTCAGAACATTCATCAGCAGTTGCATCTTCCAGGTGTCAAGTTGATGGATCTTTGGCCAGGCCGGAATAGATACTCTCTCGGCCTCTTTCCTCGAGATTCTCGGTCGATCATTCTTGATCTCTCGGTTATCTCTCGATCTCCTTCGTCTCCTCCGTGTCCGATCGTCTTCTTCCTCTTCTTCTTCCTCGTCTTCCTCATCTCCTTCGTCGTCGTCATCCTCATCCTCATCATCGGGTGGATCATCCGGAGGTCCTCCTCCGCCACCAGCGAGGCTCAACTGACGTCGACCCGCTCCCTGCCCATTCCCATTGGGCGGGAATCCACCGTAATCCAATGGGGGCGTAGTACCGTTGTTTCCCCCCCCATCACCACCACCAGTCGTAGTAGTGGATTGTGGGACATGCCCAACAACCCCTTGCATCTGGGATAGGTGTACATCGATCATTGGATCACCGAAAGACGGAAAGAGGATCGAACCTGGCATCAGCGACGAATTAGGGATTTGATTTGAAGACGATGACGGGACTGACCCAGCCACCTTCTTGTCTATCCTATTTGAATTAGCCTGGGTTCCTCCCTCAGCGCGTTTCACTACTGCTCGTTCACGATGTCCATCTTTGCTGCTGGAGGCTTCCTGTGTCTCCAGCTTCTTGTGTGCACGTAGTTCCTCGTTGTCAGCATCGAGTTGGCGTACAAAACTCTCTTCTTGCTTGAGCGTCGCCTCTCTTTCTTTCAGTTGTCTCTGAAGCTCATGCATCTCCTCGAGGTACTCATCGTACATTCCCTTAGCTGTCAATCTCCAGTACTCAGCCTCCTTCGACTTCTCGTCCATCGTGCACCGTTCCTCTTGTTTCTCTTCTTTGACCTGGGCTAACTCCAAGATCGCATCCTGACGATGACCACCTTCGACAGCAATCATCTGGTCCTTCATCGACACGTCGGACTCATACTGTTTGACGATCTCTTCTTTTTCGCGAAGCAAGCAATCTGCTCTCTTCGATTCCTGTTCCGCAAATACTGTAACGTCATTCAGCCTCGCCATCAGCTGTTCCCTGGAGTCCTCCAAAGAGTACGTCTCGGGGCGCTTGACGAGTGCATGCTCCAACTGTGATTTCAGACTTTGGACCATCTCCTCCTCGTTGAACTTCTCGATAGATGTAGAAGATTCTATGCCTCTGATCTGTTGCTGATAAACTGATATCTGTTGTGAAGCCTCACGGTGTATCTGATTTGCACGTATAGCTGATTCCTGCGCGGCCGACTTCTCGCTTGCCATGTAGGATTTCATCAATGCAATCTCCCGCTTCTGCTCCATGATAGTTCCTTCAGCTTGCCTCATCTGTTGCATTATAATATTCGACTCCATGTCTTTCTTCTCCCCGTACTGAAATGCGTTCATTTCCACCTTGCGCATCTGTTGGGCTTCTTCCTCAAACTTGCGCCATGCCTCAGCCATGTGGTGTTGGTGGTGACTCACTAGATGTCCCGACTGCTTGCTGGCAATCTCGCATCGTCTTTCCAGCTCCTGGATCCGGATGGTGCTTCCATAGTCTTCTTGGTTAAGATTCGCCATTGCTGCCGACATTTCATCAAGTGTCTTCTGATATTCCCCGATCTCCACCTCCATCTTATTCTTCTCTTTGATCACGGCGCGAAAATCTGCACTGGTGGGTGATTTTGACCTCCCACCCTTCGATGTCGATCTCACGCCCTTCTGCGACGTCCGTGGTGTCGCAGGCGAAGATGATGATCTTCTCGGTGGGGATTCTCTTTTCTTCGACTCCTGATGAACATCGATCTGCTTCCATGATCTTGTGGGAGTAGATATGTCGCTGAATAGCGCGGAACCTCCGCTCCCAGGTTCATCCTGTGAATCTGCAACCATATCCATCACCGCAGGAAGAGCCATCAATCCATTGGATCCCTCTGAGCTGCTGTTCCCAAAAGTTGCAGTACTTGGGCTCGCCGAAGACGCCATTGTACTGTGTAGGTTATCGTTCCTTTATTGTCCCTGTACCCGCAATAAACCAGCTGTCTCCCAGTCCAGTGTAGAGCTTGTAGTTACGGCTGATAACCTGTCAAGAGACGGCAAGGTGACGTCCCGTGGGACGCTATGCACCGAACCCTCAAGCTGTAATACCAACCACGTAGAAAGGTGTATACGGACGATGCCGTTATAGCCGAACCCGTGTAAACGTTGTAAGGGAGAAGGAATGATAGTTACAACAGTAGTCCTGACAAATGCAGCGCAAGCGAAGTGTTTTCGCTCTCAATGCCGATCACGTATGTATGCAGTCACACATCAGATCTTGAACCTCAATTGTGTCTTGAGCCAAATGGCGATCAATGGAACTTGGGAAGCAACACCAACAAGGACCTCAGAACAGCTACCCAATTTCGGCACGGGGCCTAGAGGGTTTAAACATCGGCAACTAAGGAAGCCAACAACCCCTCACCCCCACCCCCAACCTGTTTTCATCCCCACTCGAGATAATGGGCACAAATCGCTTATTTTGCAACCACCTTTGTTAGGGTAGTGTGTTTTGGGGCCCCATGCCCATTCCATCTCAGGACACTTTTGGACCAAGCCGACATAGCGGGAAGTCCCCTTGAACAAAGACGCCCAAGTAGGCGTATTGGGAATTTGCAGCCGTCTTCTTTGGGGTATTGGTGTCGGGCAGTATGGTCAATACTATATATTTCGGCCCCTGGGCGTTTTCTTTTAGGACCACGAAGCCCCGAAGCCCCGGCCTCGTAGGGTCCGAGCCCATCGGCATCTGTGCGCAGCACCGCGGGCGCCTCCCCACTGGGCTTGTGGCCCACCACCACACGCCGCACCTGGCGCAGCGACGGCCTTAGGGTTGCTTCTAGAAAAAAATGGGTACTCCAGGCCAATTAATTGGGTGTGTCATGGGTCTTTTCTAAGGGTGCCCTTTTTGGGGTGGCAAAGGGACACCAAAAGGAAACCCGAATCCATTTCGGGGGACATCGCGCCTGGCCCTGCGCCAAGTACTCCCGCACCTTGGGGCTCAGCGGGTCCTTGGCAGTGGTGGTCGGGTAGTCGGGTGGTCGGGTGGTCGGGTGGTCGGGTGGTCGGGTGGTCGGGTGGTCGGGTGGTCGGGTGGTCGGGTGGTCGGGTGGTCGGGTGGTCGGGTGGTCGGGTGGTCGGGTGGTCGGGTGGTCGGGTGGTCGGGTGGTCGGGTGGTCGGGCGGTGGTGCACTTTGCGGCATTTCGGGAGAAAACCTGGAACCTTCAACTTGTTGAACATCGGTGTATGTTCCCACTTGAATGGTGAATCGCGTAGGGGGTCTTAACCACCGAGCCCCCCGCAAGACTCTTGCTGCATGTTCCCAAAGGCCTCTTTGTGCCTGGGTCGGAAAGTGGTATGTGGAGGGCCCTTTGAACCGAAATTTGGTGTACATTTTGAGGATGTCACTTTCGCGGGCCCAGCTCACCGATTCGCTGGCTTCCCTTTAGTCACCAAATACCGGGAACCAGTGAAGGACCATGAGAACCCAATGGTAGCGTGGTCATGTGATTCGTGAATCACCCCTCTTTGTTTACATGCTTGGCCAGCCTTGTGTTTTAAGGGAATTCCCGGAAGCTACCACAAGTGGTATGTTGGGGAGTCTCCTTCTGCCCAAGAAAGGGGCTCCTGAAATTATGGGGTCGAGCTTTTTGGCCAAAAGGCTCTTTAAAACCACGTGGTCCATGGTTGAACGATAATTAACATGTGTGATGCCATGGCCATTTCCCACCCTCGCAAGGAGTTGGTCTCCCTTTCAAGCCAATCAACACGGAGCCCCAAAGTCATGCCATGGGAAGGGGTGCTGCACCCTGGGACTCAGGACCAACCAAAGCTACATTCACCTCACGCATCTTTTGCAGCGTACCTTTGCAGGGGACCCGCCAGTTTTGTCACCTCCATTTTACCTGTTCGCTGGGCACAAAAGACAGGTTGAACCTAAAGGGGCTTCATCAAAGACTGCCCTCCAAAAGCAATTTGGAGAACCCCTCAACGCGTTCCCTTGTAAAAAGAACAATGACAAAACCAGCTTGGGATGCCTGCCATTGACTGAGTAACCGGCTGTTGGTTGAGTGGTTGACCAAGGAATTCCCTCCGAGCAAGATCAAAAAGGACGAGGAAACCATGGGGCGGTCTTTTGAAGAACCCGGTCAAATTTCGACTCGTACCGAGATAGGACAACCACCACTTTGGAGGTTGTCCTATCTTGCACATACCCACATGCTACTGCCAAGCATCTGTGCACTTCCGCTCGATCTTGTCCTGAAGCTGCAATGCAAACGTTTCGCGAGGTAAGCAAAGTCACAGTCGTCTCGAAACATTTCCAACCTCTGCCAAGGGAAACTCACCTTCGGGCCAAACAGGTGTATCAAAGCATTCGTAAGTGACCCGAACGGAAGAAGTGAACCCTTGGGGTTGACTATTCTGGTGGGCCCACCGAACAGAAAGGGACATTTGCCACTGAACTGGGTGCTATCGACGAATCCGTTGAAAGCGGGAATCCCTGCTGAGGGGAGACGATTTTTCTCTCTACATCAAGAGCATCTTTCAGGTATCCGTTGTACAGGTGCGGATGCTGATACAACAGCAATGTAAGTTTGTAAGACAGTATTCTACCCCCGTAAGTGGCATATAGCCTTCGTACCTCCAACACCCTGAGCATGCCCAGTCAAGGGCCTAATACTTCTCCTCAGTGGGTTCATGGGTTTCCTGTCTTTGGTGGTTTTGCGGGTGTCCCGAGCTTCTCTTTAGGAGGGATGGGTCAGTTAGCCGGGAGGGTTCTTAAGATTAAGATAGTGGTCCGGTCCCCGAAAACGGTTTGTTTCCTCTTGGCTCCCCTTTCGCAAAGCTTCTTCTATCCTAACGGCCCATAGATGCTTTTGAGCACGAAGAACTAGTAAGAATCTTGCACATGTTTGCATACAGTTTTCTGAAAATGATTATTTTCGGGTGCCAGAAATCCCGGCCCCCGAGAAGGCACTTTTTTGAATTCGCTTGGCTTGGCAGTGGGCTGAAGAGTGAACAACCCACTCTTCGATCTTCATCAGCGCGGGCGGTCTGCTCAGCATTGCCGTGTTCGCAAGTTTCGGGCGACGCGAGTCTTGAAACGCTGCTCGCGATTGAGTCAGAAAACATCACCCTGAGCAGCAAATCCCTCAGCTTGGCCGGCGAACAGCTGCTGTGCGCGCTTCTACTCGTGAGCAAATACCACCCAAAAGTAGCAAAACAAATTGAGAAACACGTCACCCCTTTTCGGCCTCCCCCTTTCGCCTCTGATTTAAACGGAAACCAACCTAGATTTCCAGGATTCCATTCAGGGATGGGACAACCTCTGGATCCCTTTTAAGACTCGCCAAACCCCCGCAAAAACCCTGCCTGTTCGATGGCCTTGCGGGACGGCATGTTCTTGCCATCCACGTAGCAGGTCACCACCACGGTGCTCAGAGCCACTGCGGGGCGGCACTGGTACGCCATCAGAGCCTGGCACCCAAAACGCAACTTCTGGTTCTACTACTTGTTATTGAGGTGTAGGCTCTACTATAATTCCTATGAAACCAGGACAAGGAGGGACACCCAAAGCAGTTGAATTTTCGGCTTTGAGAAGAGCAAAGAACACACGAAAACACATTGCCTTTATTAAAGCACTGGTGATGCTGGAGGTGTGGAAACTTTAGCTCTGCAAGCCGCGACATCCACTTTGCTTCCTAAAATCAATCAACCCTATTTAAAGAGACATCCATAGGCGGCCCAACACTATACCAGCGTGAACCTGGCCCTGCGATCTCCTGCCCCCTCGCAGTCTCACCCAGGACGACAAGATTTGAAACTTGAGGCGATTCAGGGTGAGCGCTCTTGCGGCAACGCGCGGGGGCAGAACTGTGTGTAGTTTTGATATTCTTCGCTACACAAGTAGATGTCTCGGCTCCCAAACTTGAGTTTTAGGAGTCATTCAACGGCGCCCAAGTCCTCTCTATACGACGAATTACGCTTTTCGAGCGACAAAAGTGGTCGACACCTGCGGCAGTCAGTACGTCAGACAAAGAAATGATTCTCTGTTAACTAAAGGTTTCCAACTTGAGACGATTCGGGTGCCACCATGTTTCGAAAAGACTGGTTTCCCTTTACATTGCCCAAACTCCGGGAGTCGAGGCCTCCCCTCCGCGCCGGAGAACTCCATCTTCCGTGCGCCAGAAAGGCTGGCGGCACCAGTCCTGGAGCTGAGGTGACTCGAGTTCGAAATCCGACGGTCGCTGCACAAGCCGAAGGATGTCTTTATGCTGCTGGATTCTGCAAGGAGCTCCGGGAAAAAGGGCACCCTGTCTCAGCTGGTCTTTAGAGGTTCACTCCAAAAGCAGGGCCGGGGAAGCCGGAAAACCAGATCAAAAGAGATAAGGACCCCCTATGGAGAATTGCAGGGCATGGCGTGGGTTGCCCTGAAATTCCTTGGAGCGGAAAATTCCAAACTCAACGAACCCGGACTTCGACCCGATCTTTGCAAGGCATCCTAACATTGCCCGTAGCCCCGCGGGCTGCCGTCCTGCCCTGCCACACGTGGTTCAATTAGGGCCCCTTTTAGTACTCAAGAAGCAGAGCTCGTGCAGCCATACCTGACACGTGGTTTCCTTCGTTCTCTTCGGAGCTTAGGGTGGTACCACCCAGGCGTAGGAAGCACAAGCTTAGGGTCTAGGTCTAGGGCTAGGTTAGGGTGGGCCGAAGACCCAAGTACAGCACACCAGGGTGAAACTAGATGGCACACGCGTTTTGTGGGTAACTGGGTCCAACCGTGGGGATGACTAAACCAACAACAGTTGGGACTGCCAACTTGCACCCGGCTATGAAAAACCTGGTTTGGCTAATGTAAGGAATTGGACTTCAACTCGGGGTGTGGCCTTTCGAGAAGAATGGGTGTGTAGGTGTTTGAGGATACCCATGAAATGGGGGGGTGGTTTCAAAGGGAAGCCCAAGAAGAAACACATTTGCCGTGCTTTCCTCTCTTCGACCGCTTCATTTGAGACCAAATGATAGGAAGCCCAAAATATCTAGGAGACCTCCGGGACAGAGATGGGAACGGTATGGGAAGCCTCCTGCCGGCGCCCCGAACCAATGCCCGAACCCAAAACCTGAACCCTACATAATTGTCCAATTTCTTTCCCATAGTTGTCGCCTTTGGGTTTACACCCTCGTTTGATTCCGTTCGCCCAAACCAACTTCCCCTCACCCCACTAGCAGGCTCGCAACTCGTTCTTGGCCTTTTACAGGTGCTGATTACCGCACCCAGGAAGACCCGCCAAAATTGTGTCTGTTTTGGTGTCCCTTCAAAACCACCCCATTTCATGGCTATCCTCAAACAAATACAACAAATTCCTTACATCTGGCAAACTAGGTCTAATTTATAGCTGTGTAGTCGTGTGGCAGTCCCACTTTTTGTTGGCAAAGTTGGGTCAAAGTTGGGTCAAAGTTAAAGTTGGCAGTCCCAAATGTATGTGCCACCCACTTACCCACTTGACCTGGACCCACGCAGCGCTCGAATTTCTCGGAGCTCCTCCACCTGCTCGGCGGCGAAGGCGTTCAACGCCTCGATCCAGGCCTTGAGCGCCAAGCCCGTCTGCGCCTTCGGCAGGGCCAGCAGCTCCTCTTTGCCTCAGCCGAGTCTCGCAAACAAAACGCCTCGGGGAAAACGTCAAGACAAAAAAACACATGGAGAAGAAAAAAAGGCGGTCAACCTCAAAACACAAAACAGAAACAAACAACTTAACAAATTGCATGCGCAACAGCAAAGCCCCTGGAATTTGGTTCGGACTTAGAAATACCAACAGGGCAAAAGGGAAAGTCAAGGCAAGTCTGGCAATGGTGTGACCCCCATTTTTGGAACTAGGACCCGTGTGCGAGCCTGGTTTGAAAGACCCTCTCTGTAACTGGGTTGTTTTGGATTTGGATAAGGATTCTGGTCTGGCTGCCAAATTGAAGCGGATTCGGGTTCCCAAAAAGGCGGCTATCCAAATTTGTAACCAGACCCTCTCTTTGTCAAGCCATGGAAAGCCGTAACCCGATATTGAGCGACAACCCTGGCCATTTGTTGGTCCACGGGCAACTCGAACTTGTGTTGATTACTTTGCGATGTATTCGTCCAACCAGTTGTTGGGGTATTCCTCGTCAACTTGACTCGTCAACAACCAAGGGCCATATTGTAGCCCTCGGTCCTTAATAGCCAAGGCACAGTGAAGTCCCGTTTTTTGGATGACTTAGCCGCCAAGAAGGCGGTTAAAAACATAATAGATGCTTAACTGGGTGTGTGTCTTGTTTTGGAGTTGGCGCCTCTCATTTGTCATTTTTACAGTAAACCAAAAGAACCACAATTTTTGGGGGACCAACCTCAAAAAAGACGCACCCAAATCATGGTTTGAAGGGTTGAATCGGAGCCTGGTGATCATGGGCGTCTCTGCTTTTTTTCATGGGACACCCAGTTGTCTAGCGACCCTTTGGTTTTGATCGGGGCTGTCCCATCTTAAATGAGAGGATCCGGATCACTCGTTTTAAAGCGACCCACTAATTCACGAAGTGATCTTCTCGAAGGGGCAGCTCACGTCAGGTAGCTGGTTGGTCAACTGGAGTCAACTTGGTCGCAACCCACTTAGGGAACATACAACCATGGCTTTGGTGGACTATAACCATGGTGATTAACCACTGGTGTTTCCTGCCCTTTTAAGTATGAACCATGTCAGGTCTCCCCAATTGGAGACCCCTCGCTCATGTTCAATGCTTGTCGAATCATGTTCACAATGCTTGGCGACTGTTCTCGACCCATTGAACAATTGCGGGGTTGTGGGCGCAATTTGGGTCACCCTTTGCCCACCTTCCCAAAGAGAAACAGGACCTCCGAAAGCAGACCACCGCTTTTTGAGCCCCAAACGCCTTGTCCAATATGTAACCACACCAATGTTGTAACCTTCAAATGGTCTAACCTTCATGGAAGCACACGCCTTGTGCAATTCCACATTTGGTATACAAGACCCACACTTTCAGCTTGGCCAAACATCTTTTCCACACAGAACATTCATTGTTTTAATTGTGTAACCTTCGCCCACTTGGCTCGAATGGTTTTTTCCGTTCTCGTGCCAAGGCGCTGTGGGCCTGGTACCTGGTCTCCGGGCTGGGCACGAAGCCTAAGGCTTCCTCGTCCACAGCGCCGTGGACGAACAAGGTGTCCCCTAAGATGAGGCCAATCTGCGCGGCCCGCAGATAGCCTCGCGTCTGAGGGGGCGATATGTCAACCCAAGAAAAAACAGAATAGAAAGGAGATGATGTTCTTTCTGTACAGAGCCAAAGGAACCTTCATGGTACTAGTGGGACCCCGCACACAACATGTCCGTGACCCAAGTCCAATTCGATCCCAGAATCGTGGTTTCCTGCAAAGGCCTTGACACAAACCTTTACATCTTCAGCGAGCATAGTACAAATCACGTGTCGCAAGTGACCACCCACATTCAAGCTCATCCCCATTCAAAAGGCGCGAAACAAAGCACCTGTTTGCAAAACTTGAAAAAACCCGGCCCCTTGTTTCTCCTTCTCCTTCTTTGAACGCAGCCTTCCCTGTTCGCCTGTCGCTCGCAACCCCAAAACCCATCATTATTCTCAAAACGGTGCCGCAAAAGAGGAGAAACAACAATCACGCATTCCGAGACCAAAACACAGCTGGGGCTTTGATAAAAATAAGGAAAATAGTAGGTTCCCTTGTGGTAAAACAACTCCAAAAGGGGGTACTAAAAAAACAAACACGAACCAACAAACGATCAAAGAAACAAACTAAGAAACAAACCATCCCAAACAGAGTAGACACACACACACACATGCATTTCTCCCCAATCCCAAGATCCATTCAAACTCGGAAGGGCAGGGTCCAAACACGTGATACTTACATTTAAATCCCCAACGCAATGGCAAAGGGGTGTGTCTTTTTTGAGGGTATCCGTTTTGGGCTCATTCCAACTAACCTGACGGGTGGTCAGTGGAGACACTTCCCTGACATCATGGTTAAGGGGAATCTAAACCATGCTGCTAATCGTAGGGAGGGGGGGCACTCACAAAAGCGAACTTCTCGCAAAAGTGAAGGGCTCACATCAATCCAGGAGGCTTCTGACCTCCCCCTGCGGGTGGAGCACGGAGCGTTGGAAGCTGGCCACCACCTCAACAAAGGGTGTGAGGTCTAGGATTCCAAGCCCCGTGAACACACGAAGTGAGTCTCTAACAAAACCTGATATGGGTTTGCCTCGAAATGGAAAATTTAATCCCAAATCCATGACTTGCCTTTGGCTGCCACTAACCAACCTCAAAAAGGACCCTCAAGAAAAGACATACCCATACAAACTGTGGGCAAAGCTTCTTGGACAACTCATAGACCAACAATTGAAACAGGTGTCACTGTGTTTTGCGGCGACACCCAAGAACTAAGTTGTTTCTGGTGAAACATATGGAATCAAACGTTGACGAAGGACTTCGATTCGGATCATCCGAGCTCACAAAGAAGTCGATGTCAACTTGCTGGCCACTAAAGATACCTTCCCAATAAGTTATCAAGTCCACTCAGGAAGTGAGAAAGACCAATCCAATCAAGCCAGTCCAAGCCAAACAACGATCGGACAATCTGAAAAACGAGAAGTCTGGGAAACCAAACCAAAGCCTAAGTCATAAATGCCCAAGATCATCCACAGGTTTTGGGTCCAAGGGGCTAGAGAGTTTCAAACCACCAACTGTACCTCTCCCCAAACGGGCCCATAATCAATCAGATTGCCCAAAACGGTAGCTGCATGTTGGGAAATTACCCTTTGAGTGACACCAAAGTCAGGCACTTTCCCGGAGGCAATGGCGGCAAGCCGTACAGAAAATGGGAGTCCAACAGCCCTGCTTCCCAGCATGGCAGTTCTTCCGCACCCGCCAAAGCACCTCCTCATCCGAGATTTGGTCCACCTCCGCGTTTCGCAGGATGGCCAACTCCTCGCACATTTCCGGGTTTCGACAAAGGAAGGATCTACAAATGTTCCGCCTTGCTTGTTGCAATGGCGGAAGAGCCCGGTAGTTGAACCTTGAACCGCTCAAAGTTTACAACTCCACATGACATAACAGTTGGATACCCAAATAAAGAACGGTGGTGGCTTTTCGCTCGTTTTGCCACCGAATCGATGAGCTCGAGATAACAACGGGCAAGGCAAAGGCCCCTTTCCGTTCTGTATCTTCATTTTGGCCCTGGATTACTATAACCCACTGGTTGATTTTCTTTGGAGGGCGTTCCATAGAGATTCGGATGTGCCTGGAAGATTCCGGCGGTGTCAACACTAGCGGAACAAAAGCGCCCCATTCACATAGTAACAGGAAGAATGGTGTCAGGGAAACAACAGAGCCTGCCCATTCTTATTTGGGCCCGACCGAAAATAGGAAGGCCCTGTTGCTCCAGGCACAGTTTCTATGCTTACAGCATCTTACAACAACTTAGCAAAGGTATGCGGCCAATGGCTTTTGGTTCCCCGAATGTTGACACCGGGATCCGCCTGTCGGATTAACAAGGGGTGTTTCTTACAAAAGTGAAGGTTTGCCGCTAAAATTGGACACCCCCTATCAATCAGGATCGACCTGGGTTTATAATTCCCGGGTCAAAGCATGGTTGGAGAAAATAACATTTGTGATACTTAAGTGGGCCATCCAACTGTGATTGCATCGTCACTTTATAGGGGATTGGCACTGCAAAAACTGGTCCTAAAACATGGTTTTCCACCATATCTGGCGCCTTTGGCCACACCACAAGTTGAAGGGGCGCTGATGTTCAACCAGGCGAAATTCCGGGGGGGTGGGGGGTCCAGGCAAAGCGACTGGACACCGACCAAACAACTTTGCACATTCAGTGCCAAAGTTTCCACCTCAGATTTTGCCCCGACGCGTATGTCCAATGATTATTTGTTCAGTGGCCCTTACAACGTAAAATGAATTGAACAGGGAGCCCAGAAATTGGCCTTGGTTGATTCGGCGGGCTTTTAGGACTGTAATGTTGACCCCGCATTCATCATCCTTGTGCTGGCCCTTCCAGCTGCCCCAGCTTTGCGTCGGCACTTGGCAGTACTTGGCGCCTTTCAACTTCCCCCGTCTCCCCAGCTCACCCAGCGCGACCGACGCGCGTTGGGCCCATAGCCATGCCCGTGCCATGCAGTGCTGCTCCTCGCGGCGATAGTTGAAGGCCCCGGGGGCCCCCAAGGTGTGCCGCAGCATCCACTTCCTCAGCGTCACTGGCCAGAAAATGTGCGCCGAAAATTGCGGGGTGGCCTTCCAGAAGTGACACTAGCTTGTCTGAATCTGGGTGTGTGCTGCCATGGTAGGCACCCAAGGGAAACTGACGCAAAACCATGGCTACCTAGAGTAGCAAGTGGAATCAGGGAAAGCCAGAATCAAACCTGGTAAAGTTGTCTACCAAACCAATTTGAAGGGTGGGACTCTCCCGTACTACCTTTCAAATACCCAGATTTTGATTGTGGCTCTCCAGAGACAGTGGAAAAGCCGCCGCTCTGTTGCAACCAGAATGTCCGGTAGAAAAAACATCGGAACCTGGTCCGCTTGGATTTGATTCCATTTTAGTTGCCCAATGATTCGGTGCAGAAATGGACGCCTTATTGCGGTTGATTTCATGTTGAGTAGGTCCCAGCCCACGGTAAAAAGAATTGGAATCAATCCGTGACAAACGACCACCTTACCGGTTCACTGATCCGTTTTTCCAACAAGGCCAAAAGTTGACCATCCTGTTGCGCAGGATCAATGAGAGTGTGTCAAAATGGAAGGGGGGCGACCTCTGCAATTTGGTTGCCAAAGCCAAGGCTTACCACATTTGGGCTGCGATTCCTATTTTCAGACACGAGAAAAGCAGAAGGGCGACCCAAGATACAGTGGCAGAGATGCCCCTTCCCGCAAAGGGGCCATGCAGATCTTCAAAACTGGCTTGGTTTGATCGAGGAATAGCTATACAAGTGGCTTGTACCATTGTTACCTGAAATTGGGAACCCCCTGTTTTAGATGCATTTACGAAGAACGCCCGAGGAGTATAGGAAATTGTCTAAGGACCCAGGGTCGCCCCAAACCTGCAAGCGATGGGAAGCCACCCAAGGATTGTATATATATATATATATGTGTATATATATATATATAGGGTTCAAAGGGTCGCTCGCCCGCTCGATTATTTTCGGAGATATTTTTTTGGACGATTGCTCCTGTTTACCTGTTCGAACTCAAGGTGGAAAATTGGTGTGATTCCAAGGGTCCCGAATCCACCAAACAGGCGTGTAAAGGAAGGCCACGGAATCCACAGTTGGAGTCAAGTCCACCAAGAAATGTGCGTAGCCAAGCAAATTCCCGCTTGCAAGGTGCTTGCAAGGTGGGCAGAAGTGAACACACGCGAAACTAAAGGGAAACCAAAAGCAAACCGCCCGTTTCTGTGTTTTGTTCCCCCAACGGCCTTTGTTTGTTGCGCCGTAAACAAGCAGGCCCCAATGGAGAAACAGGCTTGGGGTTGGGGAAGTGAACAGGTCCGCCACACCCACGTGGGTGCTTTTCCGCGAAAAGGAATCGTTCCCTTGAATCGCAACGGCTTCCTCTAGGTTTCCCTGTGCAAAACGCTGCGCGAGGAAAACTGGCATGTTCTCAAGAAGTTGAAGGTTAAGATCCAACCAGCTAGCAGCCAAGAAAGGGATCCACCATTTTGTAAACAAACAAACTCGTTGGATCCCCAATGATTCGCTTCCCTCGAAAGGATCCCTTTTGAGACTTCCACATCTTCCCGATTGTTCCGGGCGTCAGGCGGCTGACGGCGGTGTTCGGCTGGCGCTTGGTCTCCAGGAACTTTGCCAGAGTCGGCGCCTCCCCACAGAGCGTCCGGGCGAGTGGCCCAACGCGAGCTGCCAAACAAACGAGGCCCCTAGGCCAAATGCTCACGTGCGCATCTTTCTCACTCACTGCAAAGGCTCCAAGAGGCCCTAAATCAAGGCCGAATGGTCGTGAGGTAACCACATGTGATGACAAAAAAAAACACATCGAATGGAGATCACTGGCGCTTGTCATGGCTCGCCTGGCAACAAAACCCAACCCAACCCCATCCCCGCCTTGGGGTCCCACCAGGCCACGAAGGCCTCCGAGGGCTTGCGGCCCAGCGCCTCCTCGCTGAGCTCCGCGGAGAGCCGCATCTTGTTGATGTCCCGGTTGCCCAGGAGGAAAAACACCCGCTCCTAGCGGAGCGGCTCGCTCCGGGAAGTGTCTTTCCGGAAAAACGGACCTTGGGGAGAAGAACAAATAAGTAGGAGGAGGTCTGGAAACATTGGAAACACCGATGCGAATTCTGGTTGGGGAAAGGCAGAATTTGAGCTCCTTGGCTGGCATCTGGAGAATGAAAAGACACACACATCCGCTTTTGGCTGCCCTTTGGGCAAATTAAAAGAAGAAGCATCGGTTGATCTGAAAGGGAACCCAACGCAACAACCCCCGGAACCCTCCCAAACTCCAAACAGCCGCTCCAAACCTTTCCAGAGCCCGTCTACACCAGAGGTTTCGAGAATGAACCTATGGATCCCTGACATCATAGTGTCAACAAAAGTTTGGTTTACTCTTGGGAGAATTGAAGGCTTTTTGAACCCTACCGTAAGCCCACCTCAAAAAAAAACATGGCTTCGGATGAACCCCGATTCACAAGGAAGGTTTGCCCCAAAACAGGTATCCATCAAAAGGCAATTCCTCCAAACCGACTTTGACACTACTCCATCCCAGCCTCCTGCTTGAGATGGTGGGCATCCCCAGCCATCCAACCAAATGGGCCAGAGACAGGCTTGGGGGGTCAAAACCAGGCAACATAGTCCCAACACATGCAGCCAGGGTTGGTGTCCGACCCCGAACCCATCAACCAAAAGCGACAATCGAGCAAACTCTTGGGAATCCGTTCTTGGCTTCCTTCTGCTTTTCCTGTAAGAAACCACAAAAAAGTGCACCCTTCCCCCTCCGTTCATGGAAGCTGATGGGTTGTGGACTATCTACTTTCCTCGGTTGCTTTCTGCTCCCCTGCTATAAGTTGTTAACTTTTAGTGGTTTAATGGAAAACCCATTAGTTGGCAAAAGTTAAAATCCTAACATCCAAGCAAAATGTAGCAAAGTTTCCTTGTGATGGAAGCTTCTTCCACTTCCACTGGCAGGAGAGCCCCACACGCGCTCCAACGGGCGCCGGTCAATCCAAGGCGCTGGATAGGTCTCCTTGAGCTTCAGCAGCTCTCGGGCAAGGCGCAAGTCCCCCTCGGCTCCCGCTCGGTTTGAGTCGGCCTTTGGTCAACCCCGCCGTGCCAATCCAAATAAGCCACAACCCCTGCTGGAAAATCACAAAGGGGACTGACGCCTTTCAAAACCTGTTGGGTGAGGATGGAGGATTTGGACCTCGAAAAAAGACATACCCAAATGCAGTGGATCCTATCAGAAGAAAGACCTTCAAAGACAAGGGAGGTCAACATTCATCACGGAGGCGTTTCTAAAAAATCCCATGTTGTCCTGTGGGGACATGGAAAGTGGCGTGTGCCCAGTAGGTTTTAACCACTCGCAACACTCTTCACTCCACTTCGATTCCTTAGTCTATACCCGGCTTTTGAAGGAAGACCGCGGAATCATTGTGGGGGCTCCGCTGTTTAGCTGGTCTGTGTACACCTTATGGGCGTCCAACCTTCAAAACAAAACCCCCGTGTATAATTCTGAACGCATGGAATTCAAACATCTGATCTCCGAAACCCAAAGGAGATGGCCCCCCATGTTGCGTTGCAGAGGAGCTCCATCTGCATCTGGGTGACCCTAAAAATGGGTTTGTCCTCCAACTGTTCCATTGTGTTGACCATTTTTTGGGCACATTCCGAGGGCCTTGGGAAGAACCCTCCCCCCAAAACAAGTGTGTTCCTTACACGCGCGCACACACACACACCCACACACGCACGCACGCACGCACGCACGCACGCACGCACGCACGCACGCACCCACACACACACACACACACACACACACACACACACACACACACACACACACACACACACACACACACACACACGCACACACACAAGCACACACACACACACACAAACCCACACACCAACACACCCACGCACGCACGCACGCACGCACGCACACCCACCCACCCACCCACCCACCCACCCACCCACCCACCCACCCACCCACCCACCCACCCACCCACCCACCCACCCACCCACCCACCCACACCACCCACCCACCCACCCACCCACCCACCACCCACCCACCCACCACCCACCCACCCACCCACCCACCCACCCACCCACCCACCCACCCCCACCCACCCACCCACCCACCACCCACCCACCCACCCACCCCCACCCACCCACCCACCCACCCACCCCACCCACCCACCCACCCACCCACCCACACCAACACACCAACACACCCACACACCCACGCACGCACGCACGCACGCACGCACGCACGCACACACGCACACACGCACGCACGCACGCACGCACGCACACTCATAAAAACATAGAAAAACACAAAGAGGAAAAAGGCAAATAAACAAACAATCACACACACACACACACACACAAGCAACCAAACACACGAGTGGGCATGCCGTAACCCGCCTTCCCACGGTCGAAGAGGTCCCCCCCAAAGACGAAGGCCTTCGAATCTCCCAAACCTCAGCCCAACGGAATCTGCCGATCTGAGGCGGGACACGACCAAACTCTAACCGACTAAACCACTAACCTCTAACCTCGGCCCCGCAGATTTTAGACCGACTAAACTCTAACCTCTAACTTCCCCAACCTCTAACTCCTCGCCTCCAACCACTAACCTCGTAACCAAAATTGGACGACGCTTCCAACATCATCAGCGGTGTTCCACAATCAAAATGTCTTCCGTTGAATGAAAGTAGATGTTGGACACGTTTGTAGACTAAATGGGCCAACACACCCAGTATCACCAGCAGCTTAGTCTAGCAAAATATCGTCCATTGACTAAGTCGGACTGGTTTCTAGACCTCAACATGACCAGCGCCCTTTGTAGACTAAGTTGACAGTCTCACCAGTGCTTTAGTCACTTTAGTCAACAACATGTCTTCAGTTTACTAAACATAGATGTCCGATGTCCACTTAATTTCTCTGAACATCACTAACCTCTATATAACTTCTCCAACTAAATTCTAACTCTGACCTCTATATAATTCTAACCTCCAACTCTAACTGTAACTTCTCTAACCTTGAAACCTAACCTCTAACTTGTCCAAGCTCTAACTCTAACCTCTAGCTTCTCTAATCTTCAGTTTCTGTAATCTCTATCTTCTCCAACCTCTCACTTTCTAACCTCTAACTCCTCTAACTCCTCTAACCTCGTAGACATCGCAGACTCAAATGGTCGACACCCTCAGCATCATCAGCGTGTTGGTCAAGGAAAATACCTTCCGTTGAATAAATGTACTTCCTTCTTCCTAATAACAACGGTCCCCCTAGTAATAAACATTCAGCTTCCCCAAAATCCCAAAACATATTTGTAAAACAGTGGTGGTCCCGACCATCCGCAACTTCAGCCATTGTCATATTGGGGGGCCTTTCAGAACCAACACAATTCCTTTTGCAAAACCATGCAACGATGCCACAAGAGCGCAAAACAAGTCAACAAAAAGAAAACGTGGTGAAAGCCACTGGTCGCCGGGCGACGCAGCGGGCCGCCGGGCGAGCGTCGGAGCACCGAGTCTTTGGAGGCTACGTAGCGCTCGAAGGTGTCGAGGTCGCCCTCCAGGTCCGTGAGGAAACCTATGTCCTCGTGGCTGCACCGGGCTAGGGTGACACAGGGAGACACTCGGCGCTTGCCAAAAAAGTCGACGCAAGAGAGGCAGGAATACTGTTGACCAAGGGAAACCATCAGAACAAGCTTGAGAAAAAGCGGATCTGCGTTGTCCACAGCATGTTCCACCAAAATGGGCCCGCTCTGGTTTCCTCCAAAAGGCCTTACTTTGGGAAAGCGGGGTTCGCTGAAGGGGGGAGGGGTTGGAATCTTATGAAGGCAAGTGGATTGCAGCTGCAAGCCACTACAGGTATTCAAGGCAAATCATCAGAAGCGAAACCTAGACTGGAGTGACTTGCCTAGATCCAGGATTCGAACGGAAACCCGAATCGGGTGATGTCGGAACTGGGACGCCACCAGTCCTGACTGGACTCAATAACTCTCCAGGCGCCGACTGAAAAGTGCCAGCCAACTGTTCATTGAGTCACGTGAGAGGTGATACATCCGAGAGGCGGCACTCAAAAATCCACGCCTGCGCCAACGGAAATATAAAAGGGAAGGCATATAAAGGCTTATTAAGGCATTTCTCTTAAGTCATTTCTCCCGTTTCACCCCCAGGTGAGTTTTTCATGCGTTGCCCAGCTCAACATGGAACCCAAAAAGCGCATCCGCAAAGGGACGGATGACCCGTCGTGCCAATTGGAAACGACGAACAATTGTTCCCGCCCTTCTCCACAAGGACCATGTTTGATGCATAATAAGCCAATATCCACCAAAACTGAAACACAACTAATGAGAACCCAAAAGCAAGAGTACCCTGGTTGACTAAAGGGGATGTCCCGTCAAGGGGATCCTTCACTTTCCGCCCCAAATCCGTCAGGTTGACCACCTCGTAAACCGAAACCCAACTGTGGCCTTACTGTAATAAAAGACATCTAGCCGATGGGGGTGGATCATGGGCCCATCCCCGACTCAAAAAGTCTCGTTTGCGTACCAAGCTGGGATTCCAATCATGGCGGCTTTCAGGACACGCCGTGGGCCTTTGTTGGACGCCCTCTTTCGTGTTGTTCTAAAGGAAAAACCAAAGGAAAAACAACCACCTTTGGGGTCCCAAAACTTCAAACCACACCATGTGGTTGCAGTCCAAGGGACCCCCTTTGGGGCTGAAAAAGAAACCTCTTTCTGTGGCCGTCCTTCAAAAACAAGCCTGAAAGGGGTTCCCTGCTAGCTAACCTCAAACCGGGTGGGAAAAGGGGGTCTCTCTGTGGCTTCCTGCAGAAACAAGCCTGAAAGGGCTGGGCTGGAACAACTTGCTCCTGGATCCGGCTCTCTGCTCTGGACACCGAAAACCCGCTGCCCAGCGAGAGGCCGCCTGGGCCGAGGTTCGAAGATTGCCCACCTTTAGCTCCAACGACCTTCCGGTTTGAGCGGCTTTCCGGCAACCAGTTTTTTGGGGTTGGCCTAGGGCCTACTACCACAAGAAACAAGAAGGCGCTGAGGCCCACGAGTGCTCATCTACCAAAGGAAAAACACCATGGATTTGTGTCTGCTTAATACGCAAACTTCCCAAGCGACCAGGTCTGCCTGCTGAAACAGGTGCGTCATTGACCCCTGCCCCGGTTGTTTGTTTGTCAACATTGGAATCGTTTTTGGGATGGGACTGGTTCATTTGGAACATGGTGCCAAAGTACAGGCTGTCAGGACTTTTGGTATTGGTTTATGGCACATGCTAGGTCACTGAAAGGGAGTAGGGAGGGTGTCGGTTTGAAGGCTTCTGGGAAACCAAGATGGTTTCATAGGGCGCGCTTTTTGATATCTGGGAGATAGGTTCTGCAAGGTTTGTCATGGGTAAGGTTGAAGTGTTGTGTTTGAAGTCGGGGTAATGGCCTCAAACAAATCTGCCTGGCACTCCCATTGATCCTCAAGTACATCCACTATTGCAATGGTACCCGTCACGTGCCGAAGAATATTCTGGGTCTAAAAAGAATATGACCACCCCAGAAACAAGCCAGGCAACCAAGATGTCGGCTTCCTTTATAGCTAAGCTGGTCTTAGGACACCTCCAGCCTTCACATGGGCCCTTTCCTGTGATACCAAAGTGGCATTCCCACCCCTACGATTGCGTTTGTACCTTACAGGGCCCGTGGTAACTTGGCTGTGTTTCCTCCAAAAGTAAAGGATCCCCTGTACAAAGGGGAACCCCCTGTTACTCAACCAGGCGTCTATGAACGGCTTCCCAATGCGAAGAAATCCTGACCATAGGATTTAGCACATGCTGAAGGTGACGCCCGCAAACATTGGTCGCTTTTGGGGCCTGCCTTGTCGATCATGTACGACGAGGGGCGAAAAATGCATGGCAATCGGACTGTGGTTGCTGTAGACTTCCTTCAATACTGCGGATGCACAGAATCCGCTTCGTGAAAAGGAGAAGCTTTCAGCTTCCATTTCGGGGATCCTAAACATATGACTCGCTGCTCTTCTTACTTGCACCCTTTTGTCCAACCAACCCTCTCCCAAAAACAAACGGGGAGACAAAAAAACGGTTGTTTTCTAAGCAACCATCTCCTCCCCCTTTTCTCCAACCACCCCATCCAAAAGTCCAGACTCGCGGCTGAGCGCCAAAGCGCCGCGCCAGCGGGGCTTCCGAGCAGAGTTCAGCCAGCGCATGGCGGGAATCGGAGGCGGAGGCTGGAAGAGGAAAACGCCACCGGTGGAATTCCAGGTTCCATGGGGGAAAACAAAGAAACCACGAGGGCCGCGAAGAGCGCGCGGACCCTGTTTTTGAAGGGCCGACCAGGGATGGTTGGTTTTGCTCTGACGCTAGGGGATCTTCTCTTTTTGCTGATTTTTAAGGAAGCCTTCCCACAAAAAGGAAAAAGGTGCCACTGGGCAACTGAGTTGGTCCAAGGTGCTTCCGAAAGAAATGAAGAAGATTGTGCATATGCGAAAATGCTTCCAACAAATGGGTTGTTGGTGCTGGATTGCTGGATTGCTGGATTCCAAACAAATACCCTCCCACTGAACAGCATGAAACCAACCGGGCGCTCCTGAAAAACCATGTTCTTTCTGTTTAGGGACCCTCTGAGGGTGCTGTGAAAGGACACCCTGCAGGTTAGAGTCCCCCTCTTGGAAGGTTTCAAAAAACCAAGCCCTTGCCATTTGCCGGGTCGTCCGTCCAAGTGGTTCAAGTCGGCTGTTCCAGGCCAAGGAAACATCTGGACAACGCATCAAACGGAGCCTCTAAAGGATCTTCACGGGTGAGCCCGACTTTCTGGGCCCAAAACGCGGAAATGGGACCCCTAATATAATTGGTGGTCCGTAGGCCACCACAACCAGGGGGAAACCAACTTGGTTGAAGCAAATCATGAGGGAGCCCTGTGCCCGCTGAGAAAGGGACAAAAGGAAACGGGTCTGAAGCACCTCCAAAGGCTGCACCCTTTGGAAGCCACCCGTCTGAGCTGGAGCGAGCCAGAAACGCACGCGTTGGCGCGAGTGAAGCAATGGTTAGGGAATAACAATTGGGGAATGAACCGGAAGACTCGCCAGGAAGCCATAAGGGACATTCCCTGACCAGCACGGGCCCGGGACCTGAATTGCCCGCATTTGACGTGGGTTGGAGAAGCCAAATGAGGGAATGACCCATGAACCATGCAACCCATGCTTCATTCCCAACACTCTTGTGATTCCCTGATCAAAATAAGAAAACCAAAGTTGGACCGCCTGGAAGTGCAAGAACAATCTGCACGCTGCCTGAGTTGCCTGGAAAGGGGGTGTTCGAATGGGTTGTTGTTTTTGATGAGGGAGCCCCTCTTGGTTTTGAAGGAAGGCCTCTGCTACATTTCAGAGACCGTACCAACCCCTCCCCCCCGCAAACCTTATTCACCCAGACAAAGGCTCATTCACCCCTACTAACCCTTGGGAAGATGGTTGGCAAGGCCCCCGAACATTGCACCTCTCATTGCATGAAACATTTCAAAAAACGAGGAAGCGTCAAAAGGTGATGTTGTCAACCATGCAAGACACATATACCCCCCCAGGAAAAAATGAAGGAAAAGAAGAAGAAGAAGAAGCGGTTTTCATGTTGGCTTCTTGTTAAAAGGGTGCCAGAAAACACACAAACCCAAATATTCCAGCGCAAACACACACACACACACACACACACACACACACACACACACACACACACACACACTCACACATACACACCGCACCAGCCTGCACCCTGAGGATGTGTCTACTTAATCCGAACGGTTGGGGGTTGATGAGCCCCGAGGCCAAGGCTCCATGGTTTATAGTTGAGAAGATCCCCTTCTATGATTGTGGGCAGGAGGGTAAACCGTCTCTTTATACCTGAAACGTGCTCCGTTCTATCTGGCCATCAAGCGGCGAGCAACTGAGCAGAAATGGTTTGGGGGTCTTTAGGGGTGATGTATTGTTTGTACTGGGTCCATTTTCGTAAAACAACCTCCAAATTACCGACTCGTGGCGGTTTAGAGGACCCAACAAACACTTTGAGAAGCCCGTTCCCTTTTTCGGGGCAACAAAACGCGATTCGCCAATTTCAGTAGCACCGTTCCTTTTTCCTCCCAACTAATCACCTTGGCAGGTTCGGAACAAAAGATGTCAACCTAAGCCGGCTCCCAACTAAAAAATGTTCAACCTTGGCAGCTTCCCGACTAAAAATTGAGAACCCAACAAGCACCTAGGCCCTAGGCCCCCTTTTTCGCACGAAGGAGGCAGTTCAAGGGACCCGTCCAACCGCGCGACGGCAAAACGCTTCATGGTCGCCTCCGCAGGCGCCGTGAAGCCGCCAAAGCTCTTGGTGCTGTACGCCTCTCCCACGCCTCGAGGTGAGTTCCCTTCCCGATGCGTTGAACCCCGGCCCAGTGGATCCAGAACTCACGATAGGAAACCCTTCCAGGGGAGTCCACAACTCTTTCATTTTGGCTTTTCCAGGGAAACCCTCTTGCTTACCAAACAGAAGATGGAACGCCGTCTTGGATGGAAACGAGACCATCAGCAGTTGGTGCCAAGGGAAACATAAGGACTTAATGGGGATTGCCTTTGCTCGGGGTCGACATTTCAAGACATTCTGCTTGAATCTGGCCAATCCCACTATTCCGTCATGTTTATTTGGTCCTGCCTGGAAGCTGGCTGGATTGGGGAAAGATCGAATTGTTGTTATGGGAAGAACAATGCTCTCACTAAGGGGTCACCGGAACTCCCAAGGATCAATTATTTTCGGGTGAAAACCAGGTACAAATCCACCCGAATATGGGTGGCCAACCCACGCAGTCCTGAAAAGCCCAGATTGATGGTCCGAGAACAAGCAAGAAAAAGCAGTACCAAAAGCCACTGGGCAGCGGGCGACCAACTGAGATTGGGATGGCTTGGAACAGGGGTGTTCAAAATTGAGGACCGCTTCTGGGTTGGGCGGTGGAAACAGTTTGACAGGGGGCCCTATCTTCAGAATAATCCGAAAGGACAAAAGGAAACCGCCCCCCCCAATTGCTCACGCGAGTGGAATGACAACCAAAAAAGTGCAAAGGGCCTTGGAGGCTCTAGGTGAAAGCGTTGTCCCTGAACAAATCCATTCGGCTGCTTCCAACTCACCGACCAAGGTAAACAAACACGCCTGAAACCTTGTGACGACCGCTGATGTTGGCAGGAATGGTTCGGAAGGAAATTGTTCAAAGGCAAATCTCCCCATGTTGTCATCAGAAAACACACAAATTCTTTGGGTGTCCAGCCGTTCTCCGAAAAGGAGGGCCCACAGCCAGATGTTCAAAAAGAAGTTTTGAGAAGCAATCGAAATGTAACCACCTTAAGGGGTGCAAAGCCAAACATGGGAACATGTATGGAGGGAAGCGGGGGAAACACAAATGGTTAAAGAGGATGTACCCTCCAAGAAGCTATGCCCCGTTTTCCCGTTTTTTTTCCCCAAAGTTGTCTCTATAAAGGTATTTTGCCCCCGATGTGTTCTTTCTGGGTGGTTTGGGGTAGTGTAACCGCCTTGGTAGAACGCAAACCATGTAATGTTGACCCCATATTCATCAACCCCAGTTTACTAATATGGAGGTGTCCCCCTCAAAAGTGATGATTCCCCACTCAACCCAGGGACACCCCCCTAATAAACTGGGTTGATTCATATGGGGGCAACAAATTCTGTGGGGGGCCCAACCCACAGAGACCGTCCCCCGGCTCGCGCCTCGGCCCAGGCGCTGGACCATGGGCACACGCTTCCACGAGCCCTCCTGGATGCGCGGCTCGGCTTCTTTAGGCAACCCGCGGAAATGGCTTCGATGCTCCGCGATTGGTTTCCCTGTAAAAAAAAAACCAAAAGTTACCCCCAAGAAGAGACAAACTGACCTAAAGTGATTTGACAATTATCATTGGACAAGGCACAACAAAAAAGGAACCAAAAAGTCGAGAATGCAAGCCAAGTCTGGGAATGGTAGGTGACTACGTTCAGACACGAAAAAGGGTCAGCAAATGGAACTGTCAAGAATCTTTTCAGGCAATCAAAGTAGCTGAGCAAATTGCGAGCTTTTGAACATGATGGTTGAAATGAATGGAGAACCAAGCCCTAGACCTGTCGCTTTTCAGACTCAGAGCCACCTCGCAGGAGCCATTACAGCCGAAAAAAAGACGAATGCCGTTGTCCGGAGCCAAGAATCATTAGGGCCATAACTCTTGCGATTCGTCGACCGGTCATGCAGAGACGGAACCGTCACCCTATTCAGCCGCCGCACGCGGTCGTAATGTACGGGGACCTGGGCGCGATGCTCCAGGTGTAGGCTTGAAGCCTAACCCTTAGAGGGTCGGTTCAGGATTCATGGTTCGATATCTATTGAATCGCCTGAGCGCGACGGCGTAGCACTGCTCGGCGGCCCCCTACTGGACCAAAACCCCCCAAAAAATAGAAACTTGTGGCCTTGAATCTTCATAGAAAAACCCAAGAATAAATTTCAAAAAGTAACACTGTGGTTGAATCTCCAGGGAACAAGCAGGGAACAAGTGGTATGGTCGAGTTTGAAGGGGAAACCCCGAGAAAAGAGCAAATCATTGAGCAAGGGAAAGCGTGGAAGGAGTTTGAAGGGCCCACCACACAACTCTGTGTGTTTAACATGTCAAAGGAAACTCATTTTTTGTGATTGGGTCTCAAGGGGCACCCACCAACTAAAAACCAGACCTCCAGTACATGTGGGTGCAAAAAGTTAGACTCTGGAAGTTGGTCGGTATTTCTTTTAAGTTGCTTTTGGTGCTTGTGGAAACTGTTTGTTGAGCTGTTTATGTTGACACCCGTTTTGTGAAACTCGTGGGTAGTTTTCATGAACCTCCAACAACCACGGGAGACTGCCTGAACGAAACCTGCCCCATTCGCCTCATCCTCGTTCCTGGGCCAGCTGCCTTGAAAATCCCGCAGCGCCACTCCCACCTGGGATCCGCATGAGCTTGCTTTGTTGCTTGAAAGGGAAAATGAAACCAAACGGCGAGCAAAACGCGAAAAAGCGAAGCTTAGTCTGGCAATGATAAGTTGAATGTACGCTTCATGTCATGAACCCCTGGTATGAACCCCTTCTTGAAATTAACCAATGATTGTGGCCTATTCATGGGAAGCCAGCCTCCAAAGTTCATGTGTGGACGTGTTCAATCATTCTTTGACACCCGAATGCCCAGTTGCGAGCAACCCGTCCAGTAGCAAAAGAAACGAGTTGACTTTTTTCCAGTGGGGGGCCGACAAAAGGAATTTAGAGGGTGCTGAACAGATGCGAAGAGCATATTTGCAAAACAACATGAAAGTTGAACTGGTTTCTTGAAACCAAACCAAAAGGGACCTTTCAATGCAAGGAAAACCACCCAGAGGTCCAAAAGGGTTATAACTGATTCTACCCCTCGGTCACTGGTTGTAACTAAGAACGGATGGATATGGGTTGTCAAAATAGGGAAACCCCCCAAAATTGGTTCCCTTTGGGTCGGATTGATGACATTCAGCACGTCTCCTGCGCTGGGTTGACTGTTCATGTCACGCAACTTCTCAGCACATCTCGCAATGCAGTCTGCAAACTCCTCGATTGAGATTGCAGTTGTAGGAAGACACACATGTCTCGCTATCACCATCAAATCATGTTGGCGTGGAAATCAAAGAAGCCCAATATTGATATTGCTGTCCACTTTGCCAAGTCTGCATGCCCAACTTCGAAGAATCGTGCAGTTGCCATAATGCACACCAAGCTGAGAAGGCTAGCCATAGAGCACATGAACGAACGATTGCTCACCGAATTGTGGTTGCCGTGTTAATACAAGAGCGGCACTGTAAGGAAGCATAACAGAACCATCTTATTTTCTTCGTGAGGGGCTAGAAGCCATGATGCAAGTTTGCAAAGGAATCCCTTGTGTTGTGATAAAGTGGTATCACGACCATGCTTCGGTTCAAACTGTCACTTCTTGCGAGGCAACGTTAAAAGATCCAGGGGTTGGTTGCTTAGGTCTAATAATTCAGAAATCATTCGGCGAATCAGAAAGACAGTGGCTGAAAAGCTTTCAGAAACGTTGCACCGAGCAGTTTGGGTGTGTCAAAATAGGGGAGCCAGGGAAATTGTGGCTTTCCTTCTGGTTTCCCTTGAAAGAAGCCTTTAAAAACGTAATCCCAACAACACACGGCGTGATTTTTGCATTCGTTGGCGCCTCCGGGTCGTAGTGGGCCCAAGTGGGCGCGCATGCCCGGTATTCCAAGACGTACTCGCTGCGGTCCTTCCAGACCCGCTTCTCTTGGGCCAACCGGATCCGACCCCCTCCAAACAGTTGAGTCTGTGCTGGTTGAAAGGGGAAAACTTTTAAAGCAAACGAGCAAACAGTTGAAAGGCAAGAGAAAACCTGACCCCCGGAAACGCAAGTCTTTCAGAATTCCTCAAAAAAGACTGGCGGCGGGGGGGAGGGCAAAGATTTTTCCGGTTCAGGGTGTACCTATTGACCAGGGTTTTGACTGTCGAGGGTCAATTGCCTGCCTCTGACCAGAGCTGTTGACCCAACTTTTGACCCTGCTTTTCTCATTCAAACCTTCTCGTTCCCAAAGGTGGAACGGTTTTGGGTGTCACAAGGCTGGTTCAAGTGCCAGGGTGTCTTTCTCACTTTCACGCTCGAGAGCTTTCAGAGAAGAGGGCACCTTCTATGACAGTACACCACAGGAAACGAATGTTTCAATGCCCTTCCAGGTTCAAATCACCAAGAGTCTATCTCGCACCATGGGCACCCGCATTTGAGTTTAGTTTGAGAACCCCAAAGGGCACTGTCTCTTCGAATAGGGACCCCTTCCTTTCAAAAGATTGAAGCGAGGCCTCGATTTGCTTCAAAACCGCGCGGCGAGAACTCCAGAACAGGCTGAAGGCCGCGCCTCAATGCTGAGGAAGGCCGCACGCTTTCCGGTCTCCAGGAACTTGGAGCCGTCCTACGACCAATGGCAGGTGGGGTGTTCCTCAGAGGAAAAGTTTGCCGTTTCAGCCAAAATGGTTGGCTTCCTCTGCTTTTGTTTTGAATACCAACTTGAAGGAACTTGTGACATTCCACAGGAAGCAATCAACAACTCAAAGGTCCCTAAACCCAAAAGGGCGGTGTTCGTTGAACCCGATTTTGGGACTGTCCCTAACTTGCAGCATGGGTTGTGTGGCCCAATAGGGAGCGAAAGCGGAGTGCATGCCGCGCATTCTTGCCGTGCAAGTCCTGGCATAGAGCCAAACTGACTTTCACGAAATCAGACTTGAGTTGACTGACCAGAGAGAGAGAGACAGAGAGGGAGAGAGAGAGAGAGAGAGAGAGAGAGAGACAGAGAGACAGAGAGAGAGAGAGAGAGAGAGAGAGACAGAGAGAGAGAGAGAGAGACAGAGAGAGAGAGAGAGAGAGAGACAGAGAGAGAGAGAGAGAGAGATAGAGAGAGAGAGAGAGAGGCAGAGAGAGAGAGGGAAAAAAAACAAGTCTGTTTTTGGCCGCAGAGAACCATCTCTCTCTGCACTTCTGCAGATGGAAAGCTCGTCAAAGCACCCGAAGAGCTTAGCCTTTGCGATTTCTGAATATTCGAGGCACTTCTGGGCGTCCGCTGGACCAACCTGATTCGCTGGGGGGCCTGGATGATGGCTTGGAGGATTGCTGGTCCCGGGAAGCAGCTGCGGCAGATGCCGCCAATTGTGGCTGCATATCAACTAGAGCCGCCCTCGCCACTCAACCTTGCAAAGCCTCAGTAATTCTCATGTGCAGTGATGCCTGCCCGTGACACAAAAGCTCCCAAATCTCAACACTTATGGGCACGTGATTGTGCTCGTTGAACCTGCCAACAAACTAGACCACGGTTGGCCCGAAAGCAGAACATCGCAAGCGAGGTCGGCCCAACGCTGCAGGATGCGTTCTTTTTCCCTACACGAAGCATTCGTGAAGCAAGCGCGAGACAGCACCAGGCAAGGTGCTCTGCGCAAACTGGTCGGTGCAAGTTGGTCTGCGCAAGTTGCTCTACGCAAGTTGCACTGTGCAAGTTGCTCTGCGCAAGTTGCTCCGCGCAAGTTGCTCCGGCAAGTTGGTCCCTGCAAGTGGCTCCCTGCAAGTTGCTCTGTGCAAATTGCGCTCCCTGCAAGTTGCTCTGTGCAAGCTGCTCTGTGCAAGTTGCTCTGTGCAAGTTGCTCTGCGTAAGTTGCTCTGCGCAAGTTGTGCAAATTGCGCTCCCTGCAAGTTGCTCTGTGCAAGCTGCTCTGTGCAAGTTGCTCTGTGCAAGTTGCTCTGCGTAAGTTGCTCTGCGCAAGTTGCTCTAGGCAAGGCGCTCTGCGCAAACTGGTCGGTGCAAGTTGGTCTGCGCAAGTTGCTTTAAAATGCAAGTTGCGTCTTGCGACGCCCGCCCGCGGACCAGGGAGGAATCGAACCCGCGACCGGCCGGCCCGGGAGCAGGCGCGCGAACCACGAGACAACTCCCGAGGACCAGTTCGAACAACAAAAGTCGCAAAAAACCTCGAGTTTTTGCACCTCGACCACGCCGATCCCCGCAGAGGGTTGCGCGGGCACCGCAGAAATCGCAAAAAACCATGGGTTTTTGCACCTCGACCACGCCGATCCCCGCAGAGGGTTGCGCGAGCACCGCAGAAATCGCAAAAAACCATGGGTTTTTGCACCTCGACCACGCCGATCCCCGCAGAGGGTCGCGCGAGCATGTTAGAAATCGCAAAAAACCATGGGTTTTTGCACCTCGACCACGCCGATCCCCGCAGAGGGTTGCGCGAGCACGCAGAAATCGCAAAAAACCATCGGTTTTTGCACCTCGACCACGCCGATCCCCGCAGAGGGTCGCGCGAGCACCGCAGAAATCGCAAAAAACCATGGGTTTTTGCACCTCGACCACGCCGATCCCCGCAGAGGGTCGCGCGAGCAGCGCAGAAATCGCAAAAAACCATGGGTTTTTGCACCTCGACCACGCCGATCCCCGCAGAGGGTCGCGCGGGAACTTTAGAAATCGCAAAAAACCATGGGTTTTTGCACCTCGACCACGCCGATCCCCGCAGAGGGTCGATTTTCGTGTAGTGTCGTCAGCACTACCCCGCCGCCCTAAGAAGAGATTTTAACTCCTCGCAAGTCAATTGCACTTGACTCCTTGCACTTGCAACTTGCACTTGACTCCTTGCTTGTTTCAAGGAGTCATTGCAAGGAGTCATTGCAAGGAGTCATTGCAAGGAGTCATGGCAAGGAGTCATTGCAAGGAGTCGTTGCAAGGAGTCATTGCAAGGAGTCATTGCAAGGAGTCATTGCAAGGAGTCATTGCAAGGAGTCATGAGAGCCATTGCAAGTTGCAAGGAGCCAAGTGCATGGAGTCAAGTGCAAGTCGCAAGTGCACGGAGTTAAGTGCAAGTTGCAGGTGCAAGGGGCCAAGTGCAAGGAGCCAAGTGCAAGGAGCCAAGTGCATGGAGTCAAGTGCAAGTTGCAAGTGCATGGAGTCAAGTGCAAGTTGCAAGTGCAAGGAGTCAAGTGCAAGTTGCAAGTGCAAGGAGTCAGGGTGCAGAGTTTGCAATCCTTGCATGACTCGGCGTGACTCACGTGACTCACAATGACTCTGCAATGACTCGCTGCAGTGACTCAGCTGCGATGACTCGCTGCAGTGACTCGCTGCCTGCATGACTCAGGCAATGACTCGCTGCAATGACTCCTTGCCAATGATCCGCTGCAGTGACCTGTGCTCACTGCCATGACTCCTAGCCATGACTCCTTGCAATGACTCCTTTTGCCATGACTCATTTACAGTGACTCATACTGTGAAGCTCAGCACAATGACTCATACACGGTAACTCATGATGATGATTCCTTGCAATGACACCTTGTAATGACTCTCATGAGAACAACTCAAGTGAACCCAGCGGAAGAACCCTTCGCCATGCTTTCGGGAAAAACACAAGACTGCGCAGCTTTGGAGCCGACCTGGCCACACAGCTGCTCCACGACAGCGGCAGCTAGGTCTGCCTTGGTCACTTTGCCGCCTGCGACCCGTTGGCGCACATCCAGCTGTCGAGCGAGCGCGCAAAGTTGGGGTTGGGCTTTGGCCGCCACCTCTTGCTGGAGCCACGCCTTGCCCTTCTCCGCCAAACCAGCACGAAGCGTGGCCACGACAAGCTCTGCCTCATCCTGCCATGTCCATGAGATGAGGCAACCGTCCGTAAGAAACACGACATGGTGCCATCTGGTGCTTACATTTCGGCCATCCGCAAAACATCATCAAAAACAAAAGCGTCAAACACCGACTACGACCAGGTCGAGACACCGGCGTCGGCGAAGCCGCAGAACTGCTTGGCTCCTGGCAGCAATCAGCACAGCAAAACAAACACCAGCAAAACTCTCCAGATTTCGATCCTGGCCTGTGGGCACAGCTTCTCCACGACAGCGGCAGCTAGGTCTGCCTGGGTCACGCTGCTGCCTGCGACACATCGGCGCACATCCAGCCGTCGGGCGAGTGCGCGAATCCCAGAGGATCCAGGATCAAAAAAAATCAATCTTTTTCTATAAAAAAATATCAATCTTTTTGGAGATCAATCTTTGCATTTTATAGCTGTTTTTTGTGTTCCCAATCACATCAAGGAAGATCAATCTTTTCCTGAGAAAATATATAAAAAATATCAATCTTTTTTTGCAAAATATCAATCTTTTTTGCACAAAAACTTGACATGTCCAAGAACTTAAGGATCTCATTTGCCCTTCTGCAGGGCACATGCAGCACACCACTTCTTTTTTTGCCTGGCGAAATATGTTAACGTTCTGTGTCACAGCAGCCCCTTCCAGAACCTGACATACATCATCAGCCGATACTTTTTCAAGATCTTAACAGAAAGCAAAGTGGCTGTTGTGCCAAACGATGCTGAGTGTGCAAGCTTGCTGATTCTGCCCACATAGTCTTCAGCCTTAAAGCACCATGCGTGTCTGGGATTGCCAAACCTGAAAGCAAGGGCCAAATGCTTGGCCATGTGAAATTTGATCACTGTGTGCCAGGTGAAGTCATTGGACCTGTGCAGCTGCAGCCACTTGTAATGCCCCAAAAAGGAAGTCATCAGAAAGGCTGCCTGGCAGGCCTCTTGCTCACTTGGAAACCTGGGAGCTGCATCCATCAAATCTACAAAAGCTGCCATGTCTTCAAAGATAGCCAGGATCTTGGAGGAGACTTCATCTCCTTCATGGAACTCCACTGCCAGTTGTGCAAACAGATGCACCAATGCTTTGCATTCCCCAGCTTTTGCCCTAAGGAAAGGCTGGGTCTGATGAGGCTTGTCGGGGCTGGTGAACATGGATAGCTTCAATGTGGGCAGCCTGCAGTCCACTTCAAAGTCCTTGTAGAGCGACTGTATTTTTTGCCAAATATGTTTGACTTTGTCCCTTATGCTTCTTCCTGGCACAGCCTTGCAAGTGTAGCACCAAAACTTCAACGCATTGCCCATACAATGAGAAAGAACACCTTTGCAAAACAGGATGTGCATTGCATCCTGTGCAATATTGAAATGGGATACTCCATGAATGGTAAAGAGTGGGTGTGCTGAGATCCTGCAATTCATTTCTTCTTGAGGTAGCCTCCAGCCTTCAATGTCTTTGTCCAGGCTGCTCTGCTGCTGAGGGCCAGTCATCTTACACTCCCAGCAGGGCTGTGCGTTCATCCAATGTGGCAGCTTCAGGACATTGGCAAAAAATTCTTGGTCACCCATGACCTGCCAGATTGTAAACCTGTAATTGTGAACAATGTCAGTCTTTCCTGCCTGCAGCTTAGAAAATGAAGGAACAATATGTGACCACAGTGTCTCCCAGGTTGCACTCACTGCACAATCTTTGGGAAAGGCCAGCAGCAAGAGAGATGAGCTCAATGATGGGCCTGAATTCAAGACAGAGCCCCAGGAATACACCATCATAGTTTTGCCATCGGCATACTCCACACCATCTCCATGA